TTCAATCGGTCAACAACGACATGTTCCAACACGTCAAGGATTTGGTGGAGTTGGATGATTCCGGACCATAGGCGTGGAAGCTACTGCGCAACGTGATTCAGCCCAACACGCTGCCGATGGTGATTGTGTTGGAAAAGGAGCTGGCTGCCCTCTCCATGCGACCGGGCGATGATGTGAAGCCGTATCAATGACACCTATGCGATGATGGCAGCGGCGGGCAGCAATGTGTCGCATATGCAGCAGTGCACCAAGATCATCTCGGTGCTCGACAACTCGTGGGACAACCTCATCCCCACCCTCAACACTCAGCAGGACCAGTGGACATCTGAGTGGCTACGGCAGCAGATTCTGCAGGAGGACTTCCGTAGGCGCCACACGGGTGGTGGTGCTGCCAACAAAAATGCTGAGGGGTATGGAGCTGCAGGAGGCAGCAGAGGAATGTCAGAGGTCCACTGGTGATCCCCGATTGATCCTAGGGAAGGGTTACAGGCTCGTTGTCCTGGGGGGTTATGGGCGCACTGACCCGCTACTAAACAAGCCCTTTTATCCCAGTGGTCTAGTGGCTGGGATTCTGACATGGTATCAGAGCGAAGGTCTCGGGTTCGAATCCCAGTGTGTGCACTTCGGGCATCCCAGTGCGGGGGGGTGTCAGAGGTCCACTGGTGATCCCCGATTGATCCTAGGTAAGGGTTACAGGCTCGTTGTCCTGGGGGGTTATGGGCGCACTGACCCGCTACTGAACAAGCCCTTTTATCCCAGTGGTCTAGTGGCTGGGATTCTGACAAGGAAGAGGGGGAGGGAGAGGCCGAGGCCGTGGGAGAGGCTTTGGCAGAGGGAGAGGCCGAGGTGACTATAACGAGGGGCATGGGAGCTCTGGTGGCAGGGGGAGTACCCGAATAGAGGGAGTGTGCTGGTAGAAGGCTGGACACTCGTGGTTCAAGTGTTTCAGCCGGCCTGAGGGATGGGCACCCCCAGGCATGAAGCCGCCAAGTGGTGAACGTGCATAAGGTGGTGCTGTGCAATGTTCAGGTGCACAAGGTGATGGTGCACACGGTAAAGCCGACCCTGGGATGTTCCTCATGGTTGAGGATGTGAAAGGGAGTGAGGGTAATGTGGGCTTGGTTGGGAAGGTTGTGATACACCCCCTCACTCACTGGGTGATAGATTCAGGTTGCACAAGTCACATGACCCCACGGGCAGATTTGCTTGACGAGGTAAAGCCCCCTGGAAAGATTAAGTTTGTGGCTGCCGCTTCAGGCGCTTTGCTCCCTGTGATTGGTGTTGGGAATGCCAAGGTAATGGGAGCCAATGGGGGGCTTGTGGGGCTGGGGAATGTGCTGTTGGTTGAAGGTTTGTCCGCTAACCTTCTTTCTGTGCGCCGGCTGCAGAAGAGCAAGGCCAAAGTGACCTTCGGCCCAACCAGCTGTCGTGCAAAGCTTGGGAAGCTGTTGTTGTGGGATCTGGAGGAGAAGAACAGCTGCGTCAAGGATCTGTAGCAACTGCCCATCATCCCTTGGAATGGGAAACCACCAGCAACGGCAGCGACTGCAGCAACGGCTAAAGCAACTACGGGAGGAGAGGAGACTGCGCCAACTGATGGGGCCCTGGATGCAGTCAAGAAGGTGCAGCAGACATAGCAGCCACATGGTGAGGTTCTTGTTGGTGTGGATGCGACAGCTGCATGGGCAAAGGCTTCATCTGGGAGTGGTGAGGCTGATTGGGAGACGTGGCACGAGAGGCTATGTCATGTGAATTTTCCTATGCTGCAGAAGTTAGTGAAGGTTGGGAGCTTGAAGGGGTTGGAGGTGAAGGGGGCAGCAAAGGAGATTGGGAGCTGCCCTACATGCCTTGAAACTAAATTCTCCAAGTTTTCCTTCAGCAGCAGTACAGGACCAGCCAAGGCCCCGCTCGCGCTTGTGCACATGGATGTGGTGGGCCCTACGAGGGCCCCTTCTCTCTCGGGCAGCCGCTACTTCTTAACCATTGTGGATGACCACACACGTGCGGTGTGGGTGTACCCTTGCAAGACTAAGGGGGAAGTGGCAGCGGCTGTTCTTAAGGAGTGGATGTCGAGATCTCAAAGGGAGAGCGGACACAAGGTGAAAGTGATCCGCACTGACAACTGGGGAGAATTCATTGGCGCTGATTTTGAGGCAGTGCTGAAGAAGAAGGGGATCCAACATCAGCTCATGGTGCCCTACAACCCTCAGCAGAACGGCGTGGCTGAGCGCCTCAACCGGACCCTGCAGGAAGGTGTTCGCACTCTCCTTGGGCGTGCTGGGCTGCCGGATCCGTTTTGGGTGACTGCACTGCGGCAGGTCGCCCTTGTGAAGAACAGGGTGTTGGCAACTTTGGGGAACAAGCAGTGGGTCCCCTACACCAAGTGGTATAGGAGTGCACCAGCAGTCAACATGTTGAGAGCCTACGGCTGCATGGTGGTGTTTCATGTGCCTAAGGAGAAGAGGGGAAAGTTGGAGGCTTCTGTGAGATGGAGAGTACAATTGGGGCTTGCTAAGGATCACAAGGGCTGGTTGATATGGGACTTGACCAGCCAGCAGCTGACTGTGTCAAGGGATGTGAAGTTCCTTGAGCTATTGCTCTGCTTGCTTATTGTGCTGATTACACCCCACTTTGGCTATGGGGGTGTGTCAGAATATTATATTTGTCTAGCCTGCAGTGGGGTACTCAATAGTGAGTACAGCCCAATTTAGGGTTTGCTATATGTACTCAACTGCCTGCTAGTGAAACCCCTTCTTCTCTGTTTCATTCATTCTGTCAATATTCTAACAGTATCTTACTTTGACATTCCTAATTGCGTAGCCCAATTAGCAGTGGTCGCCGAATGGCGAAAAATGCGGGGCGCGTGGAATGTACATTGGCACGGGAATCCCAAATGTGCGGTCCGTCGAAAACGTGCGACACATTGCATGAAATGTGCGGTGCGAGCATCCAAAGGCCGAAAAGTGTATAAGGGGAAAACCCAAAATATGACATTTGCGTCACATGTGGTTTGGGGTCTTTTGTGTACTGTATGGGACTTTTTGTATGATTTTTCGTAGAAAAACCTACGGACCCCTAAAATGTGCTTCTTCCTTTTCCGCGATGTTTGCCAATGGTGATGTCAACTTGACTTCGTTTCAGTGTGGTGCTGGGGCTGTCGTCGTCCTGGAACAGAAGTGAGTTGTAGAACGCATTGAACAGAAATTAAGACTCCGACGAGGAGGGTTTTTTGTTCATGTTACGTTTTGTTGCCAACAAAAAAAAGGCCGGTCCCACAGTGTGTGTAGGGAAGGACTTACCATTAAGCTGAGCGAACCGGAAAGGACGAGGGAAGGTATGAATAATATCCCAAGTAGTATCACTAGCAGGCACCTAGGGTCCATGCTTCTGCTTCTCATGGCGAAAATGAGCTAGCTTGCTGGTTCCTGGGTATAGCTGGAGGAGAGTTTGAAGGTAGTGCTTGAAATGATAAAAGTCGGAGAAACATTTCTGGTGAAATGTGGTGAAAAGTAGTTGTGGGAAGTTGCTCGTGAGTTCGGATTGGATGTGCATTGCAAAGCACTGTGCCATGAAAATCGATGTTCACCGTGTGGAAGCCGACTGGATCGCACTGGATTAGCCACTGGACCAACGTAGGCGAGACCTGTCTGGATATTTGAGAAAGGGAAATTATACGCGCAGTCACAATTATGGCCGTATTATCACGTTTGGTCACGGGGTCATCACGGACAGTCACAGTACAGTACTTCGCTATCACGCATGATCACAGCGCTATCACGCTTGATCACTCCTCGCCCCGCAGGGTTATCACGTTTGGTCACTCGTTGAAACGCTCGCCAAAAAATCGAAACTCTCAAATCTACTGTACAGATTCGGGTACTTTTATCTCGCGCGCGTTTTGTCTGTAGCGAAAAACGTGATGTGACTGTCGAAATATACTCGGTCCTTGTTAGGGACCGATGCAACCAACAACCAGTATATTTCGACAGTCACATCACGTTTTTCACTACAGACAAAACGCGCGCGAGATAAAAGTACCCGAATCTGTACAGTTGATTTGAGAGTTTCGACTTTTTGGCGGGCGTTTCAACGAGAGACCAAACGTGATAACCCTGCGGGGCGAGGAGTGATCAAGCGTGATAGCGCTGTGATCATGCGTGATAGCGAAGTACTGTACTGTGACTGTCCGTGATAACCCCGTGACCAAACGTGATAATACGGCCATAATTGTGACTGCGCGTATAATTTCCCTTTGAGAAATGGGTTGAGACGCACGAAACCAGCCTCCGATTCTTTGCGTACAACTTCGCTGACCCCCGAATCAAGAGAAGCGTCGGAATCCACTGCACACAGGTTTCCACTGGCCCATGTCCGCTCCGCGTACGGGGTGTTGCCCAACGAAACACCTGAGCCACGTTCACTCACACCATACGCGAGTGTAGGTTTGTTCACGAAAAAACTAAACCAAGGGCATGACAGTGTTCGTCAAATACAATACATCTCAGACACTGTCATGTCTGGAATTCCTTGAGTACACTCGCGCAGTGGCAGGTTGAAGTTCGGTTGCAACTCGTTTTGGCAGGGTGTCCCAAAACAATTTGAGAGCCGTGCCAGAGACAAACTTTGCAGCAGCGTGGACCAAACAGAAGTCTGGGGCTAACTGTACAGAACCCCATTGCTGTCGCGGATTCCGACGGCAGGTGAATGCTGCTGACGTGCTCCTGATATCGAGGAACAACACCTAGGAAATAATCATGACGTCTGTCCAGGAAGTTGGACTGTAGCGGTCCTTCACAAGTCGTGAAAGTCGTAGCTCTGGAAAAGACCGCTGGCTTGAGCTCGCCTCGCCTCCCATATAAGCATAAAATAGGTGTAACTCTAAACACAAATTATACTCACAAACAATTGCGGAAATATGTTTCTTGAAGCTTTGGAAATTTTGAACGTGCAACTTCGGAAACCAAAAAGATTCGGCTAAACACATTGGCACAGTAAATACTCTACAGATTTTTCCCACTGCCAAACAGCCGTGAATACACAAAATCTTGAAGCCATAAAGGCATGGCCCCCGCAACCACGGCAGGAAGCGCGCTCGTTCCGAACAAAATCCTGATAGGAGGGTTTGGGCTGAGTGCTGCATCAGCGATGCGCTTTGCCAGCTCAGATGCGGGTGGAAATGATTGGTTCTCGGCCCGCTTGGCATACGATTCGCGGACATTAATCTCCATGGGCTTAAACGGGCTTGATGGCGGGAGGACGGGAATGTGAGAGACATTCTTGCTGCATAAGGGATCGGCGTGGTAACGGAAGGAGGGAGAAGACAATTGAGAGGACATTCATAAATGGAATGACTGTTTTTTATTGTGTGAGGACAGGGATGTGGAGGGGGTAATCTTGCTGCATGAGAGGCGGAGGTGTTAGGTTGAATGACTGGAGGAACATTGATGGCCGATGGTGTGGGAATACGAGGACAGGAATGTGGGATACTTGATGCCATCAAAGCATCAATGGGATGGGGGGACGGATGGGGAGACGGATGGGGGGACGGATGGGGAGAAAGATTGGGAGGCGGATGGTGAGACAGATGGGGAAACATAATGTTTAGGCAAGGAGTCAATGATTGTGAGATGCCTCAAGTCTTGAGCACAGAAATGCAGGTGACATTCTCCTACAGAGAAGAAATTAACTGGGGGGAGAGAGCGGGGGAGGGAGAGTGGGGGAAGGGGGGAGAATGTGTTGATTTTGCGGATGTGACTGAGTGTTGCAAACACAATGTCAATCCCCAGCTGTTTCAACCTTTGCAGCGGCACAAACAAAGCACCTGAAAATGTTGGTGCGGATGTAACCGGGTGTTACAAGCACAACGCGGATCCCCAGCGGTTTCATTTCCACGCGCATGCAGTTGGTAACCGCGTTAAACGCCGCCTTGCTGCTGCCATACGTCCCCACAAAGGGCCTGCTCAAGACATGTAGCACGGGAGGGGGGGAAAGGAGGGGGGGGGGGGAGGAGTAAGGAGGGGGGTGTAAGAGTTTTCTAGGCAGCTCAAATATCATCAGCGGTTTCATTTCCACGCGCATGCAGTTGGTAACCGCGTTGAGCGCCGCCTTACTGCTTCCATACGTCCCCACAAAGGGCCTGCTCAAGACATCAGGAGGAGGGTAGGGAAGATGGAGGGGGAGAATTTGAGGTGCCTAGAAATCCCCAGGGGCTTCATTGTAACCAGCAGCGCTGGATACGTTGATGATTCGCCCACTCTTCTGCTTGTGCATGTAGGGGAACACTGCAATGCCATTGCACCTGTAAGTGTAACCGCCTCACCTGTAAGTGTAACCAGCAACACTGGAAACGTTGATGATTCGGCCGCTCTTCTGCTTGTGCATGTAAGGAAAGACTGCCTGGGACAACGCCAATGCTCCAAACAGGTTCGTGTCATACACCTGGGAGAGGGAGAGGGAGGGAGAAGAGAGACAAAGGTGGGTGAACAGAGGAGAATATGAGCGGAGGGTGATGTTGTTCGAGCCTGTTTTTTAGTCGACTTGTGTTGTTGTAACGCTCATTACATGCGGGGAGGGTGTTGTTCTTCGAGCATATAAACCCCTCCATAAATCCGAGGATGGAGAAAACCCTCTGAAAATCATCGAGCTGTTGGAGCCTTCTCTCTTATGAAAGTCTAGAGTAAGCTGTAAGGCTTTTGAGGCGCGTCAAAAGCCCTCTTGTGCTTGTGCATGATTCTAGGGAGATTCCGAAAAACTGCCCACAATTATTCACATGCCCTTGTGCTTGTGCGTGGTTCTTGAGTTGAGAGTGAAGAGATGCAAGTGCAATGGGCCATGCGGGGCAGTAACACTCATCTTAAGCCTCACTTCCGCATCTTAAGCCTCACGCATTAAGGTAGCCGCCTTAGTGCGTGAGGCTTAAGATGCGGAAATGGAACATCGTACGCACAAGAGTGTCGCTGCCCCGCATGGCCCTTCGCACTTGCCTAAACTATCCCACAGAACCGCACGTGTGCGTCTGCAGGCATGAGTGTGCATAAGCTATCTCTCCACCCTTCTGGCAATACGCCCCGCTCCCCCTTGTTGCCCGCAGGTCCTCCCGCATGACCGAGTGAGTGCGTTGGCGGGCATGTTGCCAGTGCAGCTGCTGGAGGAGACGCAGAGGGCAGTGGGCGAACTGCACCTTTTGAGGCGCCTCAAAACCCACACCTCTCCCACCACCACGACTTATGAGGCGCCTCAAAAGGGGACGCAGAGGGCAGTGGGCGACCCGCACCTGTTGAGGCGCCTCAAAACCCGCACCTCTCCCACCAACCACCATGAAGCCCTCAACGCCCAGCAGCACGCCCTCACCACGTTGCATGCCGTAACACGGGGGTCGGCTGGGGTGGGGTGGGAGGGCAGTGGCCCCAGCAGCTCACATCCTCTCCATCCATACACACACAACAACCTTGTCCCATCGTCACCTCGTCATCCCACCTCACCCATGGGTACCGCATAGCACCTCTTTGATCCGCCCACAGGTAATTCTGCTAACGGCCCCGGCAGCCCACACCCGGCGTTGTTTACCAGCACGTCCACCCGCCCTGCTGTTCGTGCCACCTCCTTCACTGCCGCCTGGTGTGGGGATAGAGGTTAGGGGGAGAGGGGAAAGACAGCCTGTCAACCCCGGCAGCCCACACCCCGTGATTCTCACCAGCACGTCCACGCGCCCTGCTGCACGTGTCACTTGCTTCACTGCTGCCTGTAGGGTGGGGAGGAAGCGTGGAGAAGGGGAGAGGAGCTTGGGAAAATGTGATTTCGAGGCAGTCCGCACCCTGCGTTGTTTGCTTGCCTGACCAGCATGTTTTGAGACGTCTCAAAACCAGCATGTCAACGCACTCCGCTGCAGGCGTCACTTGCTTCGCTGCTGCCTGAATGGGGAAAGAGGAGAGGGAGCGAGGGGGAGAGGGTGCACAGGGACTGTACGGCAATCCCGGCAGCCCACACCCGGCGTTGCGTTGCTCACCAGCACGTCCACCCGGCCTGCTCCACGCGTGACCTCCTTCACTGTCACCTGTAGGGGAGGGAAGAAGGGAGGAAGAGGAGAGACAGTACGGCAATCTCACCAGCCCACACCCCGTGTTGCTCACCAGCACGTCCACCCGGCCTGCTTCATGCGTGACCTCCTTCACTTCAGCTGTGGGGGAAGTAAGAGGACAAGGGGAGAAGTGGGACGGGAGGGTGGGGAGGAAAGGGGGAGAGAAGGAGGTGAGAGAGGGGGGGCCGGGGGAGAAATTGGAGGAGAGGAAGGAGAGGGGGGGGAGAGAGGAGAGGAGTGAGAGGAGAGGAGGGAGAGGGGGGCGGATTGTCGGTTTTGACAGCCCGCAGCTCAATTTGCTCACCTGGCCTGGAAAAAAATACGAGGTAACCAAACTCCAGAAAACTTAAAGGAGGGCGGTAGAGGGCGGTGGAGAACGGTGAGAGGGAACCAAAGGGGAGGGGAGGAAGGTGGGGGGTGGGCGGACCTCTCGCAAGTTTGGCTAATCAACGACCACGATTTTTACAACCTAGCACATGAGACTCGCGGGCTACTAAATATCATCGCAGCCGTCGGATCACCTGGATGGACGGCTCAGATGTGACGTCGAGCGGCAGCGTGTGCACCCCTTTCTCCTTGAGCCCCTTCATCGTGTCCACTCGGCGTGACGTGGCGAACACGTTCGCTCCGCGGCGCTGAAACTCCCTGGAGAGTGAAGTGACAGAAGAAAGCATGACAATAAGCGCGTTAGTATCCAGCTTCAAATCCAAGGAATCCAAGAGCATGACGTGGAAATCGAGCGTGACTGTAATGAGGTCGAGAATTGAAGACGTAAGCGGCTTACTCGGCGATAGCGTAGCCAATTCCTCCATTGGAGCACCCCGTTATAAGAACAACCTTCCCCTTGGCGTCTCGCTCCTTTGGCTTGGCCAACGCGCCGCCCATAGCGGGAAGGAACACACGAATAGTAGGCTCTTACTACTACCGAGGCTTCGGAAGTGCGACCACTACCAGTCGGGAATGCTGAATGTAAAATGCACGAATTGAGACTTCATGACTTTCCTAGGTCGACCAACGGCAACATGTGGATCCTCGAGCTGGAAACACAAATAGCTCGGTATATAGAAAGCGTTGAAGACTATTTTTCTCTCGGTGGGTAGGCTGGTGTCCAAAAAGTCATCTATCCAGGACGGACGGACACCATTGATTCGGAAGCCGCGTCGCGTATGGCGCGGACGGTTGCGATGGGACTCGGAGGAATCCAAAGCGCGGGAGACGTCGATTGACGGATAGATGACAGGTGACAGTTCTGCTGACAGCTCCGTTGGCGAGGTTTCAGTCAAGGCGATTTCGTGAGCTTCGTGAAGGTGTTACAAGTAACTCGTCGATTGTAAAACTTGTGTTTGCTTGGAGGCGGTTCTGGTCGGTGCAGGTTGCATTTGCAAGTTTGCAAGAGCACACAGCTAAGTGACGGTTTCTAAAAACCGTGTTCAAAAACCTGGAAACAGGCTTCGTTACAGCGGCTGTGTCGCTTACAGTAGAGATTTCACCATAACATTGTAGCTCCTATCTGTACATGGATCGAGTCGAGTTCCATTCGGCGTGTAAACACGCATTGGGCCATCCTCCAGCCCTTGGTAACCTCCGTGCAGCAGATTGCCCATCCTTGCTTCGTTGTCTTCCGTTCAGCCAATAGGAACCTCCCAGTGCCACAAGAATCCTCGCCTGACACAATCCATACTGTAAAATCGACATCCATCGAACCGCACTCAAACGCACTCATTCCCCGCGGACTGACTGAATTTGGCGGCGCCGTTCCAGCCCACAGAGACTGCCACAACAAATTCTGAAGCAGTGCATGTAGCTATAAATCTCAACAAATTCTGAGCACATTCCAGGACTCCCAACTGATTAGCTCGAGTGCTGTTCAACTCTTCAGCAGCAATGGCTTCCTTCTTCCAAGTCCTTTCAGCCTTTCTTCTCCTCTCGTCTGCTCTCACCAGCTCGTTTGCTTCTCCCCATCACTCTAGTCTTGCCGAATCTTCGTCCACTGATCATGCTGCAGCTACCACCACAGCAGCAGCAGGCGAACCTGCTACAAACAAGATTCTCTCAAACGAGGATTCTGCAGCACCAAGGCGGGAGATCTTTGGGAAGTTCCCCGACCCCATCTGCAAGCGCTTTGGCGGATGCAGCGAACCCATTGACCCCATTGACCCCGTTGACCCCGTTGACCCCGTCCTCCTTCCATGCAAGCCGCCACGTCATCCATGCCCTTGGGTGCTCGAGGACAGCTCAGCAGACACTGCGAAGCGCCAATTTGGGTGCTGGGGGCCGCAGATTTACTGCAACGGGAGCTGCTGCCTCGTAAGTCTTCATCATCTTGTTTTCCAAAAACTCACTGCCAAGGTTTCGCCAATATGGATGCTGGGGACCACAGATTTTCTGCAACGGGAGCTGTTGCCTCGTGAGTCACCTCTGAGAAACCTCCAATCAGTGGAGTCGTTTCTAAGAAAATCTAAAAATTGACCCTGCCTGCCAGTGAGCCAGTGGCTCACTGCACGGGACTCGCTGTTGCCTTGCAAGTCCACGTCAGCCTGACTTTCAGCAACAGGCGAATCTTGAGGCATTACCTGCTGCCTGCCGTCTCCCACCAGCAACTCTAAACTCGACCCAAACCGACTTGCTAACCTACATGTTCAAACCCTCCTGTTTTCTCCCTCTATTTCATACCTCTCCTTCTTGTGCCTCAGGGCAACTCCCCGCGTTGCTGTGGCGGAAAGTGTTGCCTGGGAGGTGAATCCATCGGCCTTACCTGCTGCCTGCCGTCTCCCACCAGCGATCCCACCATTGCCGGCACCTGCTGCAGCACCCGCACCAGCTACTGCTGCGGCAGCAACTGCTGCAAGCACGGCACCACCTGCTGCAACGGCAAATGCTGCGAGCCCGGCTCGACCTGCTGCAACGGCAAGTGCTGCCCGGGCAACGTGAAATTCTGCGGCGGGCGGTGCGGGGGCTGCCCGGAAAAATCCTCCTGCTGCGGCGGAAGCGTGTGCTGCAACGATGAGTTAAAGCCTCAGTGCTGCAGCATCCCGGGCGTGAGAGGCGGGGAGTGCTGTCCTGGGATTGACTATAACGGGGAGGCGACTGGTAGTTACTGCTGCGGCCAGCAGTGCTGTCAGGGGTCGGATATGGAGCGCCCCCGCTGCTGCTACTCGGCTAAGACTGGCCCACGCTGCTGCAAGCGTCCCATCGGGATTCCCATTGATATTCCCATTGGTCTGCCAATTGACCCGTAGACTAGCCGCTGAGAGGGTAGGGGATGACTTTTGAGCCGAGACTTTCAAGTCACCCCATGAGAATCACAATTCGGGAAGGCTGTGAGTGAGGAGGGTTGAGGGGGTGCACAGAAAAGGGAGTTGGACCTGCGAGAATCTGAGGAAGGGAAGAGGCAGTAAGAACCAAGTCACTCAATAAGGTTGAGGATACACCCATGATGCGTCGAGGACGCATGAAAGGGTGTGTGGAAGGATGAATGGCTGAGTTTCGCGATGGCTTCGTGATGGCTGGGGCTGGTGTGATCTGTAGCATAGCATGCGATGATGTATGTACATAATCGAATAAGGGAGGGAGGATGTAAGACGACATAACAGTATTTTGAGAACCTTCTGTGAAACTGCTTTGAATTATCCTCCATATGATCCAGGCGGATGTCTCATCTCTGTAAATTTACCATGACCAGACTCTCACGAACAACCCCTGCATCTCACACAACGAAAAAAATAAAGGACCTTATTCACTAAGTGATTTTAGAAAATAGCATGTCAGTAAATAGCATGACCAACGAACCTGCTCGCATGAACCTACTCTGCACCTCACACGACCAAGTACCAAGGTTCTCCATAATTCCAAACTCTCACAACAACGACTGAATGTGATAATTCAATCCCTCACGCGAAATTCCTTGCACTCAACCCTCGACATGCAAGCCCTAACTCGCGATATGTGCCTCAACCTACCTTTAAAAGACTGCAGATTCCTCTGAGCCATGCCCTTGCCTTGCTCAGACCGCCTAGCACCCACCTGTAACAAGTGGGGTCTGCTCTGGAGGCAGCGTGAAGCGCACGGGAGGTGAAAGCATGCAGCAGCAGCGTGCAGCTGCGGACGTGGGCAGCAAGGGGGCGGAAGTGAGCAGGACGTGGGGGACCCACGTGAGAAGGGCGAAACTGAGGATTCGTGCCTTGACTGACTTGGGAAGACTTCCGCGTGGGACAGGTGGCAAGGGAACAATATCGAAGAGTTAGAAAAGGACACGTGTATGTGAGAATAATTGACGAAAGAGTGATTGAACTAGAAAACAGAAGGGTACAAGTAGAAAACACACAAGTGTTGTACCCTCTAAGGACTACCCCACTACAGCCTAAGCAGACTATAGTAGATATAAGTTTGACACACCCCCATAGGCAAAGTGGGGGAGAACAAGGGGTCACAATGTGGAGAGTCACTCTACAACGGTGGTGAGCTAGACTACAAGGTTGGCACGAACTACTAGGAGTGATCTTAGCTTTCCTAGTTCCTTAGTGCTTGCACAATCACGGGAGAAATCGCCAAGATTTTCCACTAGCAAAGTTGGAATTACAGAATGATCGGACAAGCAATGACAAGAATGGCTACATCAGGCACCTAGCAACTCTGCAGCTAGCCTGGTCGACAGACAGCACAGCATGGTCGACCGCGTGCCAGCGTTGCGTAGAGGAGCCGCGCCAGCACTGCAGAAAGGCGACCTGCCAACACAGCAAGTCGACGGTGTGCCAACGCTGCGGCAGAGCGGCTGTCCAGCGTTGCCCCATAGAAGACAGCAGTGCGCACGCTCGCAGGTGCGCGCAAACGATTGGCCCGACTTGCACCGTTGTACATTCGTTGGCCGTTGTCTGTGCCTGACGAGCCACATCGACTTCGGGATACCAACCCGAAGTCGCCTTCGCCATCGCGACCTTGACGACGTTTGCGTGCCTCCGCAAAAGCCGCCGAGCAGGTTACCCGGTCGGCCTGGATAACCCCAAGTGCCTCTGGTCGACCACCGGGTCCCGTCGAGCTACCCCCTGGTCGACGAACCCCTTCCGTCGACCAGAACTGTCAGCTGTTGTCGTCGAGCTCCCCTCGTCAACCATTGCTCATTTGTCAGGTCGACGGATTGCTTCGTCGAACTGCTCCTCCTGGTCGACGGCCCACCCGTCGCCCAGACCAGTCAGTTACAGCCGTCGAGCTCCCTGGTCGACAGCAACACCACAGCGGTCCCCTGCAGCTCGACGAAACCTGTCGAGCAGCTCTCCCACTGTGGATGGTCGGCCGCTACTCCCGTACATCCGACCAAGTCGTCGGCGCTGCCCAAGCGAGGGCGGGGCCAACAATTCATTCCCGTTAACACTCCCCTGCCGCGCTCACGCTTGGGCCTCCAGCCCTCATGGCAGTATTCCACGGAGAAGACTCGTTTTCGGCGTGCACCCCACACACAACACACTGCCACCGCACCAGCCGTGCAGAAGTTCACGGCACCTACTGCTGCACGTCATCGTCGACATCACCGACGTCAGCCAGACGAACTTGGCCGATGGCGACAGAGCACCGGTTGAAAGCCGGAAAGTGCAGCGGCTTCGTCAGGAAGTCTGTCGGCTGCTCGGTGGTCGGGATGTACTTCAGTACGAACTTCCCGCGCCTCACCATGTGCTGCAGCCAGGCATAGCGTCGTTCCATGTGCTTGAGGTTGCCTGTCAGCCCCAAGCCTTCAGCGACCGTGATTGCCGACTTGTTGTCGACACGGAGGATGGTCGGCTTCCCGGCGTCGAGCAGCTTGAATTCCGCAAGAAGGAAACGAAGTCGATGTCCCTCCTTGCCTGCATTCGTGGCCGCCACGTACTCTGACTCGGTCGACGACAATGTTGCGCACTTGATGCGCGAGCTCGACCAAGAGACGGCAGCCCCTCCGTAGACGAACGCGTAGCCTCCCGTGCTCGTACGGTCCTGCTTGTCGCCCGCGTCGTCGGCATCCACGTAGCCGATCAGCTCCAGCGACTCTGGTCCACCGCCAAACTCCAGGGCGGTGTCGCTGGTGTCAGCGAGATAAGCGAGGTAGCGGTCGACCTCGCGCCAATGCTGGTCGCTCCTCACCGTAAGACCGCTTCCCAGCTTGCTGCAGGCGAACGCGATGTCCGGCCTTGTTGTCGTCGGCGCGAACTGCAGCGAGCCAACCTTCTGCCGGTACTCCTCCTCCTCGCGCCCCTGCGCCTCCTCATCATCGAATGTCAGCTCGGCGTAGGCATCGACCGAGACAGGTGTCTTCGGGAGTCGACCGCCCTGCTCTTCGTCGATGAAGCGCCTGCGCAGCTTGTCGGCGTAGCCCTGCTGGTGAAGCCACAGCTTCCTCGCTGGCTTGTCGCGCACAATCTCCAGTCCGAGGTACTTGACGACCGGCGAAATCTCGCGCAGCTCAAAGGCAGCCTCCAGCAGCTTCTTTAGCTCTTTGAGCATCGCGGGGCTGCTGCTGGCGGCGAGCAGGTCGTCAACGTAGACCAGCACCCAGCAGGTCACTCCGTCGTCGCCGGCCTTGAAATAGAGTGCCTCGTCGACCTGGCTCTTCTTCCAGCCAGCTCCCAGCAACACTCCATCGAGTGCCCTGTACCACAGCAGTGGCGACTGCTTCAGCCCGTAGAGGCTCTTCAGCAGCTTACACACCCGGCCGGTCCCATCGTCGAAGTAGTCCGGCTGGTGCATGTAGAGCACCCTGTCGAGCTTGCTCTGCAAGAAGGCGTTCTTCATGTCGAGCTGCATCAGATTGAAGTCGAAGACGGCGACGATGCTGAGGAAGATCCTCAGCGTGACGTAGCTGCTCACCGGCGAGTACGTCTCGTCGTAGTCGGCACCGCACATCTGCGTGAAGCCCTTCACGACCAGCCTCGCCTTCTCGCGCTCGACGGTGTCGTCAAGGCCGTACTTGGTCGTCAGCACCCACCGGTTCTTCATGATGTTCACCCCGCGTGGGCGTTTGACCAACTCCCAAGTGCCCATGGCGATGAGGCTGCGGATCTCTTCCTCCATGGCGGCCTTCACCGCCTCGCCCTTCCAGCTCGTCAGCGCCTCCTTTACCGTCATCGTGGCGATGTCCCAGCGATGTTCGGGGTCTGCGTGCATGTCGGGGTCGAGCTCCGGCAGTTCGTCATCCTCTTCGGCGTCGTCGTACAACAGGTCATCACCGACCTCGTCGTACACAGTAGTGAAGGCAGCTGACGGTGGGCAGGCGTGGAAGCTCAGCCGCTCCGGCGTCCGTCGGGCTCGACCTGTGCGTCGCAGCTCAGGCTTCATGATCGGCACCTCTACCACGTCGCTGTCGGTGGACTCTTCTCCTGCCGACAGCTCCCCTTCTTCGTCGACGTCCAAGTCGTCGACCAGCTGCTTCGAACCTTCTGCTGACGTCGACAGCTCCCCTGTCGAATGCACCCCTGCTGATGTCTCCTGTTCTACCGGCTCCCCTGTCTGCTGCTCCCCTGTCGTCGACGGGTTCCCATCCTGGTTGACAGGCTTGGCGCCTTGTCGACCGCCGGCGATGCCACTGGCCGGCGCCACAGCCGATGCCTCAAGGCTCCCCTCATCGCAGGTGGTCGACACAGGTGCCGAAGCAGGCCGATCTGCGACGGGGAGGGGAGGAGCAAGATCAGGGGGAGGTGGAAGAACCTCCACGACATCCTCATCAGCAGGCTCATCGACTTCGACGAGCAAAGGAACCGTCGTTGTCGAGGTGTCCGTCGGCGGGTGTGCCTGTGTTCGCCCCGACGCCGGCCCATACTTTGCCTTCCACACCTCCAGCGACAGCGTTTCATAGAAGATCACCTCGACCGACGTGACCACCTTGTTGTCGGTCAGATCGAGTACCTCCCAGCCCTTACTTTCCGCTGACACGCCCAGGTGAAGCCCCAGCGAGCTTTCGGCGCCAGCTT